TTTCTGTGTACGCCTTGCAAACTCTTGCTAGGACCTTGATGTGCTGGAGACCGTCGCAGATATCCTCACTTCTATGTTGGAAACCAGATGGTGGTTCGCTCGGCATGTCAAAACAGACCTGCCGCCACCCTTGCCGCAGCCTGCTTCCTTGTCCTTTCGACAGAAAGTCGCTCTGGAGTTTGACCCTCGTAGCTGGCGACAATCTGCAGAGGCTATGGTAGCTGACATGAACATTGTCTTATCTCACCTGCAGCAATATAGTGCCGTGTACAGTTCCACAGCTCTCATGCTGAAACCTTCCAGAGGTTCGCAGTTTTCGTCGACGGCACAAGTTTGCTTCTTAAAGGCTTGCTGCACGAACCTGCCACCAGCTCTGACTCTTGAACGCTCCGAGCCGCTGCCAAAGCCAAACAGGGTTGTGCTGAGTTTGACGTCTGTGCAAGTTGGCACGTCCCCTTTGCTTCTTTGCTTGTCGACACCTCCTTCGACACGCGATGCTTCTGGTTCAAGTTTCGAAGGGGTTCGGAACTTGCTGTTGCCGCGCCATGCCGGCGCAGAAAAGAAAGCTCTTCGGAAGGAGCCGGGGACGGCAGGCTCAGAAGACCTGTCCGTGCTGTGGGGGCTTGCACTCTAGGGGGACGCTTGTGCATGTATTCTGTGGGGGGGGGGATTCGGCTACGCGGTGAGGGCCGGCCCGACACGTGGACCTCACGCCCTCTACCAGGTACTTCGCCTTCCTTTTCAATTCGACTGTCCGGGCAGCAACTTTGCTTTACAGGGGTCTCTCTTTCGGATTTCGGGGATCGAGGGTCGATCGTCCTTGTGTGCGTCGCCTGCCCAGGCAGCTTCGTGGGCTTCGAGCTGTGGGTGGCCCGCCGGACTTCAGCCTTGCCGTTTTTTTGTGTGCCTTTGCAGCCCTCGTCTGGCGTAGTCTAGTTTTGTAGCCCTGCTGGTGTCAGCTTCTGAGACGGTCTGAGATCTGCATTTATAGCATGTATAAGTCTTCCGTGACCTTTTGGCTGGGTCCTGAGTACACATCATCAGGCCTCGAAGCAGTGATGCCCACGCCACAGAGGCGAGAACCTCAGCTTGGTCATCACAGATTCTAGCTGTTCAGAGCGGAAGCACAGTACATGTTTTGCGTGGTGCATCTCCTGCGTTCAGCTTTTTGAAAAACACATGTCGGCCTGCGTCACTGCTGCGATATGTATATATACGTCTGTGTATGTTCCATTCACATTCCAGCAAGCTGATGTAAGCAGTCAATACTTAACGGGCTGGTACACCCGCCCGACTCATGATTCCCGGCAGCCCTTTCAGGACACTAGCCTTGCCACACGCACGATGGGTGAAACTATCACACGGCCACACTTCCACAAGCAGCAGCATCAGCACCAGCAGCAACAACAACATTTTGCATTCACAAGTCCAACATGGCCTGGTGGGGCAGCGGTGGCTGGAACAGTGGCGACTCAGGTTGGGACTGGAACCAGCAGCCAAAACAAAAAGCCAAGGCCACGCCGGCCAAGGCCACGGCGGCCAAGGCCAAGCCTGTGGCCAAAGCACCCGTGCCACCGAAGGCACCGCCAAGTGCCGGGACAGCGGCTGAGGCAAACGATGAAGCTGAGGCTGAGGCTGGTCAGTGCAGGAGGGAACGGGAGCAGAGAAGGCTTGACATGCGCGAGGAGATGCAGGAGCTGCGCCGAACTGTCCAGACGCAGCACGAGTTCCTTGCAGCTGTCCCCAGACTCCGTGCAGAACACTTGGAGGCGGTGGAGCAAAGAACGGAGGCCAGAACGGCGCTGAAGTGGCAGGAGCAGATGAACACTGCAGCCGCGAATATGCTCAACACCAAAGCCACGAAGATGCGAGAAATGGAAGCCTCGAACGCCGCCGAAGTCCGGGCGCTAGAAGAGCAAGTGGATGCTGGTTCTGATTCTATAGGGCGAAAGCCGCCCGTCTTCTGTTTACGCTAAGTCAGACGGATCCCGCATTTTAGGAATTCCGCATTCCCAGGTTTGCCGCGCAGGAAGAGCCACATTGAATCTTTCCATGCGCAAAAACCCACACACGAGAACGCATATTCACTATTAGCTACATGCGTAGAACGTATTAAAACAGACCGGCGCCCAAAACACCTCATTTTTTCAAGGCCATTTTCGCTACTAAAACAATCGTCTTTTACACGCCCACGTGTCCAAAACCCACGCGAAAATCCATCTTGCATACATAAACGAGAAAAATCAAAATCGCCTTTTCGAAAAAAGGCACTATTACCCTCCCCCCCACCCCACCCCCGCCAAGTCCAACTTTGTCGGTGGGAGCGGCGTTTTCGAGGTCCAAACCCCAAAAAACCTGGGATCCGTTACGGTGGCGTGACCTTGTTGTTGTTGTTGTTGTTGTTGTTGTTGTTGTTGTTGTTGGTGGTTGTGGTGGTTGTTGTTGTTGTCGTTGTTGTCGCTGCTGCGGCGGCTGCTGCTGCTGCTGCTGCTGGTTTTGCTGCTCTAACCATTTTTTGCTGCTCTAACCAAATGCTGCGGCTGCCGTTTGCCTTCGTCTAATGCACAAGTATACAAAGGACTGTCGGGCCACAGCTGCATGTTGTTGATTGGCGCCCGGGTTTTGAAAGTTACTGAATCGGAGTCTTAGTTCTGCAGTACAGAATTTGTCTTTTGCAAGCAGTATATACAAGTGCAACTGTCTCTCTCTCTCTCTCTCTTTCGCTCGCTCTCGCTCTTTTACGGAAGAGTGGGCAGCGTGTTGGTTTTGTCGGAGGTTCTTTGCATGCTTAGGCCGGTTGGAAGCCGAGCCGGCCTTTCTTCACCCGAGAAGCTCCGGTTAAGTTGCTGTGAAGTGGGGTGGGCTAGGGTTCTTGGAGTTGGGAGTCAAATCCCAAAGTTCGGAGTTCGATTGCGCTTCCGATGCCTTCTACAGGTTGAGTTGAGTGTGTGGGGCTTACTGTAGGATTTGGATTTAGGGTTGGCGTCGCAGGGTTCGTGTTGCAACGGACTTGAGAGTCAGCCTCAGTGCGGTTTCGTGATGTAGAAACCTGAATAACTAGCATTCTCAAATACTATTCCTCTGCGCTGACCTTCTTACAATTGTCGAATCATATTCATATACACCTAAACCTCGAATTGTTAAGCTCCCTGTCTACCTGTCTAGTAAGGATCATTGAAACTCCCATGTATTCGCACAATCCCCATCCTCCCTAAACCCTAAAACCTAAAACCCTAAACCCTAAAACCCCCTGAACTCCAAACCGAATTCCCCTGTGCCCACGCTTCACATCAGTCTCCCAAAGTCCCTACCCCCCAAACCCGCGCAATCCTTCATGGCAGGTATCAGTGTGCAGGTCGGAATGATTGCTAATGGTTAAGCTGCGAATATCCCGTTCCGTTTATTAGTTATACTACAATATAGTCTTATTTTTCAAGCCCCCCGGAACCCTATGAATACCATTAAACACCCATAACCATCTTTAAACAGCGTTCAAAAATGTTGCTGATTTCTGGGTAGTATAGCGAACAGAGGTCAGCTAAAGGGCTCAGGGTTTAGGATTCTTGGGTTCATACGGTTAGTTTAGGACCTAACCCTAAGTCTTAAACCCTACACCCTAAACCTTAAACCGGTTTAGTTTAGGAGTTCAGGGCCCTCATGACAGCACCTGTATGAACTCGGCCTTTGGTGGCCAGTGCCATAGCGGACACAGACACGATGGCTTGCGAGTCCTGCTTGGGATCAATCGGATTCACTTAATCCTGACCCTGGGTCCTAAATTCGAAGTGCAAAAAGCTTTAAGCCCCGAAAACAGGGAGTGGCACCTGAACGCCGGGGCTTCGCAGTAACCATTCAACAATCTGATAATTTTGGGGGAAGTAGCAATCTACCGGATGTTGCCGCATGTAGTTGAACTGTGTATGTTTCTCAACGCCAAAGGTTTAAGCTCCTGAGTGGTTATAGAACTCTGTGTGATTCTATAGTAAACCCCCAAAAAGTTGGAAACCGGATTAATGACAAATAGTGCTGGGATTCCCTAGTCATTGCTCTTAAGGATTGAGGCTATTGGGTTTCCAACTTTTGGGCTCCTACCCTAAACCCTAAATCCTTAAACCTTAAACCCTAAACCCTTAGCCCTAAACCCGAAACCCTAAACCCTGAACCTGAGATCCTATTGTAAACCCTAAAGCTCCCGAATCCTAAAGCCCGGACCTGCAGAGCCAAGCGCTCGATTCGAGCTGATCTGTCTCAATACTTGCCACGCCAGAAATGCTTGCAGTTTCAACTTCGAGGCTTTCGGGGTGCTTAGGCTTTGCCTTAACCCCAAATAGCCTCCTGCAATTACACTTTTAAGGATCTGTATAAAGAGCTCACAATAGGGAACCCTTGAAAGGAAGGCTTTATGGGGTTCGGGCTTTGGCGATTTGGGGTTGAGGCATCAGAACGAATTCGTAGACTCCGCCCGGTGGTCCTTTATGCTGCCCGTCCTGCTACCGTATACCTACTTCTGCAATACTCCACCTGTAAACTGTTTGGGCTCTTATCGTTTAGTAAGTTGAGTAGTAATCTGAAAGTTTAGCCTTTGAATTTCTGGCTTATTGGGGAAGTTAGTAGAAGCCTTAAGCCCCACACCCAACGCCCAAGTTTCTCTGCTCTACAAACCCAAAACCCTAAAACCTAAATCCTAACCCTAAAGCCTAAACCCTAACCCCTAAACCCCTGAACCCCAAAACCTAAACCTGACCTCCTCCTCAAAGCCAGAGGTTGCAGGTTTCAGGGGTCGTGATTCAGGGTAGTTCGGGGAAGGTTGGTAAAACTGCGTGGTCATATATAGAAACAAGAAAGTAGCTTCAGAGTGGGTCTAGAAACGGGTTGGCACGATTTACTGACATGCAGGGCGCTGTTTTTGCTTCCCCATTTATAGGTGTAGTGTATGTTTAGGCTGGCATAATCAATTGCTACAAGCAACCACGTGCTGACCTGCGACCGTCACCGCGCAGGACACGAAGCGTTCTGCGCATTGACACTCTGAATTTCAATGACACGGTCGCGGCCTCAACCGATAAACCCTTAAACCTAAGCAGTAACCCCAATTCCTTCACCCGAAACCCTACGTCTCGAAATCCTGGCCCTTAGCCTTTTCTGCACGGAAGAGAACGAAGCCCTCTGCTTCCTGAAAACATCACACGAAAACACGCACACCCTGAAGCCCGAAACCTCGTTCTTTACGAGGGTTTTCTAAATACCTATACTATTTTGGGGGTTCCTTATTATAAGTTTAGTATACTGGGCCCCCAAACCCTATTCTAATTATTAATTAGGGCCCCTACACCCTAAACCCTTATAGTAGCCCTGATAGAACCCTTTAAGGAACCCTTTAAAGGAGCCCTACAGTAGAACCCTTGGAGCCTCGACTCTGACATGATCCGAGCCGTGCTGCCTCGGAGGTTGGGGTATTATTTCGATTCTTATGGGGGTTTCCGAAAAGAAGGCACCATCTTTTTGGGGTCCTTATGATAAGGATCCTACTATTTAGGGTGCTATATTAGGGTCCCCGATTTTCGGAAACCCCCTTATAGGCTGGAGACTGTCGGGTCACGTCAGCCCAGGGTTTCGCTCTAAGCCCTAAAGCCCTAAATGCTCAAACCCTCAAACCCGAAAGCCCTAAACCCCTAAACCCTAAAGCCCTAAAAACCCTAAACCCTAAAGCCCTAAAGCCCTAAACCCTAAAACCCTCAACCCTAAACCCTAAAACCCTGAAGCCTAAACCCTAAAACCCTGAAGCCCTAAACCCGAAAGCCCTAAACCCTAAATCCTGAACCCTGCTCAACCGGGGGTTCTCTCATGTGGCTGTTGACTCCGCCTGAGCACGCTCTCCTGGGACCACCTTCGGAAGGGTGTTTTCGGGTTTAGGGTTTAATTTAGGGTTTAGGGGGTTGGGGGTTAGGGGTTAGGGTTTAGGGTTTAGCCGAGAAGACCTACTTTTTAGGAGGTTTTAGGGTTCTTCGTTATGGTGTCGACATACACTTCCTTACAGTCGTAGGTCTTTTGGGCCACAGGTATGGTTTAGAGTTGAGGGTCTCTAAAACGGAATTCTGTGTCTTAGGTCCCTACAATCCCCTTAGGGCCTGTATGTTCGGGTTGAGAACCCGGATCCTGGGGTTTAGGCTTTTTTAGGGTTTAGGGTTTATAGGGTTTAGGGTTTAGGGTTAAGGACCCTCACTCAAGCCCTAAATCCACATCAACACGGCTTGTTTCTGGGTGGGCTTTGGTTTAGAGTTTGGGGTTTAGGGTTTCGGGTTTTCGAGGGATAGATTTGGGGGTTTTAGGTCTCGGAGCCCGAGATTTCCGACCAAATCGAAAATGAGAAAGTGCCACGACCAAGGTGACGCGCTTTCGCCGCTCGACTCTCTGGCATTGCTCCGATTCGGCTTCGTCATACTTTTCCTAAGAGCTCCCGATTGTAGTTACAAAACTTTTCGAAATATCTTTAAGGCTGCTACATACAAACCTTCTACTTTCTAGGATCCTACACCACGCATACAAAACCTTAAAAGCCTTAACGCCACAAGCCCAATAAACGAATCTTTCAGATTACGCAGAGGCCTCGGGCACGAGTTTGGATACTTTTGGGATCCCGATCACGAGCCCGGAGCTGGAGCTAGCTGAGGATGGGAATTGGCATGGTGAGTTTAGGGTATTGTAGAAGCCTAAAGAAGTACCTCAATAGTTTTTTGGGGGTTCCTTATAATGACTATAGTATAAAGAAGCCCAAAACCCTATTCTAATTATTAAGGCCCCTACATCAGGGTTTCGTGGCATTGCTAAAGGCCTCTTTTTGCAGTTTCTGTGGGGCTTTCGTAAAGGCTTGAGATAGGGGCCATAATGATTAGAGCCCCTAAACCCTAAACCCCAAACCCCTAAACCCCTAAACCCCTAAACCCCTAAGCCCCTAAACCCCTAAACCCTAAACCCCTAAACCCCTGAACCCTAAACCGCAAGCCCTCATCTGCTAGTCTTGAGTTCAGGCCTCGAGGTCGATCACTTCCCGTCGCCCATGGACTGCAACCCTCAAAAGCCCGAAGCCCTTATAGGCCACGTGTAGGGTTTAGGGTTTAGGGTTTAGGGTTTAATAATGACCAATGCTATTTTGGGGGCTCGTTATTATATTGTAATTATAGTAAAATGGGCCCCAAAACCCGAAAATTACAGTCTCTTTCCACAAATATCTTCTATTACTACTCAACGGCCTCATGCGATTATTCGGTAACCCTGACCCCCCAGTTACCTACTATATAGGGCCTTAGGGGCTCTAGTACCCTATATAGTAGGTAACTGGGGGTTTAGGGTAATACAGAATAATCGCATGAAGCCGTGGAGCCCAACTGGCGAGTTTTCAGCCCGCAGTCCGGGAGCAGCGAATCCTACAAAGAGTTCAGTGTGCGGAGTTAGGGTTTAGGGTTTAAGGTTTAGGGTTTAGGGTTTAGGGTTTAGGGTTTAGGGTTTAGGGTTTTGGGACTTCTGTTTCATAGCAGCTGCTGGTGGACTCCCGAGGTTTTATGCTTTGCACTTGTAGCTCGAGTCTAAACGAAGGCTCGGATCCGAACACGGTGAATCCATACAGAGCTACACACAGAGCCTTAAAGCATCTTAAACACTAAACACACCCTAAAATCTTAAACCCTAAAACCCTACTGAACAAACAACCCTAAATCCTAAACCCTAAACCGCAATCTCATCCCGTCAGTCTCTGCGGGTGTTTTGACGGTTTCCGCAGTCTAGCTCTTCGGTCTAGGGTAGAGGTGCAGGCGTGCGTGTAAGCTTTCCGTTGGAGGGCTTGGGGCTTCAGGGGTTTAGCATTTTGGGTTTAGGGTCACGGTTTTTGTTGGGGCTTAGGGTTTATAAAGTCTGGGGTTTTGTCGTGTGACTCTCACAGAACCCGAGACCCAGAAGGCCTGCAGACCCTAAGGTAGGGTTTAGGCTTACAGACCACCAAGGCATCTTCTTTTTCCGATTGCCGCACATAACCCCGAAGGCTCCAAGGGCTTAACCCAGAGAACCCAATACACCTGGACCTTAATTAAGGAATATACCTTAAACTATAGGGCCATAATATTATGGTTTAAGGTATATTACTTCATTAAGGGGTATTGGGCCCTCTGGGAATATAGAAGCCTGAATAATTGCCTATATTATTCCTTGCTTCCTTATAATAGTTATAGTATAGTGGGCCCCAGATTACTATTCTAGTTACTAAGGCTTCTACAGCAAGAACCATCTCCAACACACTACCCAGCAAAACTTAGACTCCAGGCCCTAAGTCCATAACCCTGAACTCCATTTCTTAGTTGAAGGATCGCTAGAACGTCGAAATTTTGCCTCAGCTTAAGCTTGTCGCAGTCGGAGATAATGCTGGGCTTAGAGTCTAGGGTTTAGGGTTTAGGAGTTTAGGTTTTAGTGTCTAGGGTTTAGCGTTTAGGGCATGTCAAGGAAACGACTCGTTGCTGATTGCCTTCTTCGTTCTGGGCCCAGTTCCTCGTGTGGTCCGGGTACTGTAGCGGTCACCCTTGACTTAAACCGATTACACCCTAAAAACCGTAATGAAAAGCATTCAATATTAAGAGCACTTAAACCCCAAACTCCAGCCCGAACTCTCTTTAGATATTCAAGCTTGAAGGATGCCACCCAGTGACCAGAGGTGAGTGGTTTAGGTTTGGGGGTTTTGGGTTGAAGGTAGCTTTGAGGGTTTCGTGTTCCGGGGCCAGAGAAAGGGGGTTTTCCGAAAACCAAGGGTTTTCGAGTTTTAGACTCGGTTCCCCACCCCCGAAAACCCGCAGGTTCGCTGGGTGGCAAGTTGCAATGAGTTTTAATTTGGTCTTACAGAGCTCCCTCTTCGTTATATAGGGGCTATTGTTTTTTTTTGGGGGGGGGCTTATTATAACTATAGACTATAGTATGAAAGGGACCCAAAGCCCTGTTCTGATGATTAAGGCCCCTACATTCTTCGTAACCCCATTGGTGGCTCTTGAACTACAACCCAGCTCGGAGGATTCTTACTTGTATTGTTATACTCAAGAACATTGTTGGTATGGTCCTTACGAATACATGTCTGTTTATTGTTGGTATTCTTACTGTTATTACTCTCAGTATTACTGCTATTTCTCCTGGGTCTGAGACTTTGGGCCTTTGGGAGTGGGGACGGGAGATCTCGCCTTATCTTCACGGTCCCCTGCCCTCCTTGCAGAATTCGGGGCTTCGAGTTTCTGATCGGCTCTGTAGAATACCGATGTCAGTATACAAAAATAAATAAGCAACTGAATGAATAAGGACATATTTTTATACATATGTATATGCACGTTGCATGCACACATCTTCACCTATACCAATAAGACTAAGAAATAAGTGTATTATGTTTCTTCTTCTTGTTATTCGTAGTAGCGGTATGTTTGTATTTGTGATTCTTTATTATACTATTAGTCTTATTTTCAGAACTTTCCGTGCCATTTTCATTGATTATGTATATGCTTTTGTTTGTGATTACTACAAGAGCTACTGATTTTATCATGATTACTGATTAATGTGGTTTGTAATTTCTGTTTGGTGTTATCACAATCATTAGTGCTACTATTATGCATGTAATTATTCTTATGATTGTTGTCATTATTGTCATCAGAACTATTAGTATCAGTATGGTTCTGATTATATCAATACCTATAGCATAACAGAAAAAGCAATAGTCATCATCACCATCAACATCATCATCAGAAGCGTAGTAATAAGAGTATACATATATATACATATATATATATATAAGTACTAGGATTGATTACTTGTAGCAATAACCGTCGTACCGTAGTACCAGTAACAAGTTCAATAGTAAAGAGCCACGAACGATAAACAGCAGTAGCATTATATGAGTAATGGAAAAGCATACAACCGATAATTGATACTACAAATAATAATTGTAGTACATAAAATATGCGCATGACACACACACACACATACACATGCATGTACCAGTGCGAGCGTGCTTGCGCGTGCTATATCAAGATGAAGCTGCACTACCATCAAGGGTTCAGGAAGGCTGCTCGAACCGGGTTGTGAGCAGAGCGGTTTGGATTTTTCTGTGTGGGGCCCTAAACCCTAAACCCTAAACCCTAAGGTGTTCGGGGCTTTCAGATTTCCGAGCTGCACTGAATTTTTGAATTTCTGACCTTGTTCGACCTCGGGGTCTTGTAGGCTCTTGCCCCTCCCCCCCAATACCGAACCCCAAACCCCCGAACCCGAATCTAGGCTTTCAAGCCTAAACCCCGAAAGCCCTGAAGTAAAAAACCCTAAAACCTAAACCCTAAAACCCTAAACCCTAAACCCTAAACGCCTAAACCCCTAAAACCCTAAACCCTAAACCCTAAAACCGCGAGCTCTCGCCGAGGATCCGCGGTCCAAGTCGTTTCAGGATTTGCGCCCGGCGCTGGAGGACTCTCCACAGGGTTCCCAGAGACTCCAATACCCCCTTAATTATTGAGGAATATACCTTAAATTCTAGTAGGATCCCGAATAAGAATCAAGGTGTATTCCTTAATTTTGGGGTATTGGAGTCGCAGGGCTTGGCCGCTTGAGGTCGTCCCGAAATGGTTCAGGGAACTTGGCAAGTGCAGTTGTAAGATATTATAGGGTTTAGGGTGTAGGGTTAAGTGCACTTATAAGATATCATAGGGTTTAGGGTTTAGGGCTTAGGGTTGGGGTTTAGGGCTTAGGGTTCTGAGGATGTTATCAGGCAGCTACAAGAGCTAGTTCGATAGCGGCTTATGGAATACTCCAGTCGGACCCAAAGAACCCAATACACCTTAATTAAGGAGTATACCTTAAATTATAGGGGCCTTAATATTATGATTTAAGGTACATTCCCTAGTTAAGGGGTATTGGGTTCTCTGGGGAATCTCCTGGCACGGCTCGGGCTTCCAGGATGTGGGTTTAGGGGGGCTCAGAGTTCAAGTAGATTGCCCGGCGTCTGTGGGTGATCCTGTTGGCTCCACACCTTCCCCTAAATCCTAAACCCCAAGCCCTAAACCACCTCTTTTCATGTGACCTTTCGGTCCTTTCGGTTCTGCGTAGGTTTCGGCTGTCTAAGTCAGGGCCAAGATCCCGGCTTCATACAAAGGGCTCCTGTCGAAAGTTCGATGCTCGAAGCCGGGTGATTTATATGTATATACGGGTTTAGAGGTTAGGGCTTCAGGGTTTTAGGGCTGAGGGCTTTAGGGTTTAGGGTGTTAGGGTTTAGGGTTTTAGGGTTTGAGGGCTTTAGGAGCTTTAGGGTTTTAGGGTTTAGGGTTAAGGGTTTAGGGTTGGGGTAGAGTAGTTAAGGGAAACAGATGCCAAATCTCGGAGACGCGGTGGCCAAAGGGGACTCTGCCCTTACGGCTTCCCCTCCCCCGAAACATCAGCTTGCTCGTTTCAGGGAGGGATGCATTGTTCTTGTTGTTAGCTGGCGGATGGCGCTCAAGCCAACAGCAGCAGACAGCCCGGAAATGCGTTCTTTCAATCAGGTGCCTTCCGATATATCAACACTCTAATCCAAAGAACAGCTGTCAGTCTGCAATAATAGCAAAACGTTGCCTGGCGAGAAGGGGAACGGCTCTTAACCCGACTTGTGCAGGGGCATAGAAGCTCCCTGGTGAAACTAACGTGATGTACAGTGCAGACGGAATCAGAGTGAGTCGATGTGGTGGATCCAGAATCCTGGTGTTGTGGTTCTGTCTCTAAGTGTCTCTCAACAGTGGATGTCGTTGCCTGGTAGACAGGTAATCGCAAGAAGCAGCTCACTGACATCCTTTCATGTGAGTATCAGACAAAACCTCTGAACGAGGCATGACTAAACCCTACCTGGACCCTAAAGAACCTACCTTTTTAGGGTTCCTTAATATGATTTCCTTATATAAGTCCTTAAAAACGTAGGTTATTTGGGGTTAAGGTAAGCCCTGTCCCATGGGGCAGACCCTGTTCTCCCGCGGCTGCTGACAGACGTCCGAGGTGCTGGCCGCTACTCATACGAAGACACCCTGCGAAGGCCCTAATCCCCCTGACCCAGACAAGAACCACGAAAGGACCCTTTCAGAATCCCTTATAGAAACCTTATGGTAGAAAGCTCATAGGACACTTTTGGAACCCCTTTTTGAGCCCTTGCTTCACTGTGCTGCAGGAGACCGCAGATGCTTTGGCATCATCGCCGACACCGCAGCCGCCTTGGTGCACTTCCTTTCAAGCCAGGTCATAGAAAACCGCAAGCAGAGGTCTAATGAGTCTATTGAGTGTCTAGGGCTTGTAATCATGTTTATAGTGGTTTAGGGTATTCGTTCGCTGAAGCTCACAATCTGAAGCGGTAGCCTCTGAAACACGGCGACTTGAATGCAGATGCCAGCGAAAGCAACCGATGTTATGTTCGATGATGATGATGATGGCTATCACTATTACTACTGAATTTACGATTGCTATCACTATTACTATCGCCATTGCTACTGCTATTACTATTACTGTTCTGTTGCCATTGCTACTGCCATTACTACTATGATTACTATTACATCTACTACTGCGATTGCTATTACGATTGCGATTTCCATTACGATTACTATTACGATTACTATTACTATTACTGTTGCTGTTACAATTACTGTTGCAATTACTGCGCTAATGGTTCTTATCACTATGATTATGTCTGTGTTTATTACTATCGTGATTATCATTGTTATTGTGATTGCTAGAATTACGATTAGTATGATTATGTTTTCTTTGTTTTTCTTATAATATTACTACGGTTATGATTATAAAAATCAGAGTTGCCAAGAAGCGTGCAAAGAGACGTGCGCCTCCTGAGGCTTGGTGGCTTTGGCGCGGTGGATGTGACAGCCGACCTCCCAAATTGAGAGCTTATGGAACCACGGTTTGGACTTTGGGTCCGGGTTTAGGCGGGCTTGGGTTTGGGTGGGAAGCTTGAACTGCTTTGCCCAATACATGGGCTGCACTTCTGCTATGACTACCTTCTGTGGTTTCTCGGGGCCTTTGGGGTCTGGGACCGCTTCCTTTCAGAAGATTTCCCTCTACAAAACCGGTGCAAACGCGAGCACTTCAGGTCGACAGCTACCTGTCTCTGCTGGAGGCGGGATGGCGAATCCTGCAGAGCACTGTGGGTGATTTCTTTTCCGATAAGACTACCTTTCGGGTTCTTTTTGATGAGACCGAGCTAGCTGTCCGACGATCGATATACACGATAACTTACAGAGCCCCTGACTTGCAGAGCCACTCAATGTAGCATGCGAAGCCGTTTCGCGTCTCTTGCTGTATGACCGTATGACCTTGCAGCTCAGTGGTTGACTGAAAACCCTAAACCCTAAACATTTGAATCCTAAACCTAAAGACCCTAAACCCTAAACCCTAAACCCTAAACCCTAAACCCTAAAGCGACTTCAGGCAAGGGGATTCTTCCACAAGCGAAGAGACCCGAAGCCCGAAGCACCCCGAAAGCCCCAGTTGAACGCCAACACCCCCAGACTTAGACCCCGAACCTTAAGCCCAGGACCCCCAGGGTTTAGGGTTTAGGGTTTAGGGTTTACAAGCCCTAGTATAAGGACCACTTCCGGTCCGGGTCAGAGGTCTCTCCGGGCGTAAGATTTGTAATGTCGGGGCCTTACTAGTTAGAATGGGGTGTTGGGGGGTTCCTCAGTCGCAGTTATAGTATAACATACCCCAAACCCTATTCTAATTATTAAGACTTCTGTATTAAATTCCTACATCCCAAACGCTAGGAACGCACCCTTTAACTATCCCAATCCCAATCTCACCCAAGAAGTCAAACATTCCTTTACCTATGCGCCACCACGACGACCCATTGCGTATCCGGTGAAGCAGCCACTCATCTTGTGTCTCACACCTAAACCCTAAACCCTAAACCCTAAACCCTAAACCCTAAACCCTAAACCCTAAACTACCCTAAAACCCTAAACCGGGGTGTGGTTTCGAATGTTGTTTTCTGCGGGTCTCGCTGACGAGAACTTCGGGCCGAGGATGGACTTTCCTTGAAGCACACGGAGCATAGATGGAACACAGACGTCTGATAATTAAGGTTTGGGGTTTAGGGTTTAGGGAGCAGCTTGTTGGTTCCATAGTTCTTCTCCCTTGCTCCCCATCTTTGCTGCGAAGCTCGGGATGAGATTCCGGAACGTTGCTTGTGCAGAGCGGTAGATGATGGGGAGCAACATCCCTCATCCGGACGCTGACAGTTGACCCCTTGACACTTGACACGTCTTCGAGCGAATATAGGGGTCAGAATCAGCATCGCTTGTAATAGTGGAATGTACCCCAAAACCCTAAATCCTAAACCCTATAAACCCTGATCCAACTGTTAGGGATTCTGAATGTACCCCAAAACACTAAATCCTAAACACTAAACCCTGATCCACCTGTTCGGGATTCTGCCTTCACTGCTCTTGCCGGGAATCCCTTCGTTCAGGCACCCGAGATCACCTCGAGCTGGCAAGACTTGCACAAAGGCTGGGGGTGGGTGGGGGCTGAAGATTTTTTTAAAGGGCCTTCACGAGGCTTCATAGGGGCATAGGGTTTAGGGGTTCAAGGGGTTTAGGGTTTGGGGTTTAGGGCTTTGTAGTCTCCTTGAAGTGGCTTAAGACCTTGCCTAACGGTTTTGCAGGCTTAGACGATTTAGGGTTCGTAATTTTCGGAGCTGTTTCGCAGGAATCCGGACCTCAAATTCGAAAGGCATTGTAGGGTCTGCGTTTTGAGGTTCCGAGTTCAGGTCAAGATCATGTAAACCCTAAACCATAAGCTCCTAAACCCTNNCCTAAACCCTAAACCCCAAAGCGCCCGAAATTGGATCGACGTGCAGTCGGCACTTCCAGCCGTGGCCGAATCGCACAAAGGTCTAGCGCTTCCCCGTGGCGCAGGAGTTTTGGGGTACATTGAGTTTAGGCCCTGAACCCTATAAACCCTAAA